GGCGGAGCTTGCAGTGAGCTGAGATCCGGCCACTGCACTCCAGCCTGGGTGACAGAGCGAGACTCCGTCTCAAAAAATAAAATAAAATAAATAAAATAAAATAAAATAAAATAAATTCAGCCCTGTCCAGTGTTCCATTCTGTCCTCCTTGGTCTAACCACTGCCAAACACACTCCTTAGGTTTTTGTGATATAAATGGCAAAATTATTTCAATACATGGCAAGATCATTTTATAGTATTTACTACCTCCTTCCAGGTCACACTTTGTATTCTGAAGCATGCTGAAATCTGATGCTAGATACAATCGTAGGGGTGATGAAGCGGTAGATGGAGTGGGTCTTGGAGAGAATGGACACTTCCATACAAGGCCACTGTCCCAGGTGAGATGATTGCTGGCCTTCAAGCAAGGAAGGGATTTTCCTCTCAGACATGAGAAAGCAAACCGTGTCCCTCCCACATAAGGGAGGGAGGCTCACAGACATTCAGGGGTTTGGGGATTCTCAGATGTATCTGAGTCTGCCTGGATGCCCCACTCAGGCTCTCAGGAGTCCAGTCTTTCTGAATCAATGCCCTACATTTTTCATGAGACATGTGGCAAGGCTGTGAGTTCAACTAATATTTTAATCCTGCAACCCACAAAGTTTGGGTCTGGTTTTCACTGAGGTTGACCCACACCTCAAGAAAGAAGAGATGCACTCAGACCCATCATAAAAGCCGTGGATTCTCTAACCATGACTCGAGCCTGAAGCTTCTCATTTTCTTCCCGTAAGTGTTCTAGTGCAGTCAGAGAAAGCCACTCCTTTCTCAGCCCTTGAAGTTAGTATTCCTGCCTATCGGTAACAGTGGCAGCCACATTTCATCAACATCAACTTCAGAGGATCATTTCATGAGTCACGATGCTGCTATATGCTGTGCGTTTCCAACTTGTGCTTTCCCATTGGCAAGTGAGGCAGCAGTGCGTTCAAGACTAGGAGAACAACCAAACCTGTCCCAGAGTCCCATCCTGGAGAGACCAGCCAGAGCCTAGGCAAGAGAAAGAAATCAGCCAGGTGTGGCCGGGCACCGTGGCTCACACCTGTAATCCCAGAGTTTTGGGAGAACGAGGCGAGCGGATCACGAGGTCAGGAGATCGAGACCATCCTGGCTAACATGGTGAAACCCCGTCTCTACTAAAAATACAAAAAATTAGCCAGGCGTGG